GCTTGTGTTCTCCCAGAGCCACTCAGCCAGCCGTGCTGAGCTGCTAAACCTCTCCGGGGCGTGTGGTCAGGCTCGCGATGGCTTAACCCTCGCAGGCAGAGCGGCTCCGTGGCGGTGCTGGACGTGACCTTGGGCAGGGTGGAATCCAGAGCGGCAGTTTTCTGTCCGCGAGCGTGCGGTGAGGGAGCAGGCGGGTTAGCTCTTGTGTTCTCCCAGAGCCACTCAGCCAGCCGTGCTGAGCTGCTAAACCTCTCCGGGGCGTGTGGTCAGGCTCGCGATGGCTTAACCCTCGCAGGCAGAGCGGCTCCGTGGCGGTGCTGGACGTGACCTTGGGCAGGGTGGAATCCAGAGCGGCAGTTTTCTGTCCGCGAGCGTGCGGTGAGGGAGCAGGCGGGTTAGCTGTGGCACGACGGGTGTGCGGGAGGGATGTCTGGATGTGCGGGAGGGATGATGTCTGCCTGTGCAGGATCCCATCCCCAACGCTCAGCATCCTGTCCCCCTGAAATAGGGGACTGCATCTCCCTTTGCCAGGGCTCGCTCTGGGAATAGGACACACCTGGGCAGGAGTTGATACCAGAGATGCTCCATAGCGTCCCGGTGACCTGTGTCCCCCCTCCCCCAGGTCCCCTTCCTCTCTGCCCTGCCTGCTGCTGGCAGAGTTTGTTCCATGGGGCTGGGAGAGGAGGGAAGGGAGATAACCCTCTGCCAGGCCTTGGGCGGGCTGCTGCCCCCCCTGTGCAGCAGAAGTTGTGTCCGACCTGAAGGGTCGTCGCTGGGGCTGGGGGAGAGGAGCTTTGTGCTGGGACCCTGCTTCCCCTCCGTGGGGTCCCACCGGCGACGGGATCAGCCCAAGGCCCACAGGGAAGGAACTGCGGGGAGGTGGCGATGCACGATACCTGTTGTGCCGCCTTCCAGCACGGGTGTGCAGAGAAGTGCGGGAGAGCAAATCCCTCCGCGTGTCCCTGCTCGGAGAAGTGCTCTTTCGTGGTTTGTCTGAGACTTGGCTCCAGTTCCAGCTCTGCTCTAGCAATACTGTCTTGTTTTTTTACTTTTGATTTAAATAGTACTGAGTGGGTTTTGGGGCTGTGAGCTCCCCTGTGCCACCGGCAGCCCTACGAGGAGCGTGCAGAAACCATCTGCTCCCCTGGCAGAGGGCAGGGAAAGGGCTGGAGCTGCTCCGCTCCCCTCCCTCGAGGAGGGATGGGGTCTTCTTTTACCAGCGCGGCGTTGCTGGCACCTGCCCAGCGCAGGGGCTGTCCCTGCGGGGACAGAGACCACTGGCGTCTCCCAGAATGGACCCAGGAGGGTTTCCCTGGCCCGTCCTCAGCTGGAACCCTCAGGTCCTGGAGCAGCCTCCATCAGAGCTCTCGCAGGGAGCTCCTTGCCTCTGGGACAGCACTATTAACCTCTCTTCTTCCTCCTCTTCCTCCTCCTCCTCTTCTGTGCCCCACAATGCCAGAGCAGGGGCAGCAACGGCTGCTTTTGTAAAGCACTTTAAGGCCTGGGCTGCGAGGGCACGGG